GCCAGAGGGCTTTGAAGTGCTCCCTGTGCTGGCCAGCAACCTGCCTCCCTCCCTTCCTGTCCTGTGAGGGTGACGGAAAGACCACAGGAAGTGCAATGATTCCAAGGGTGGAGAAGGATGTAATAGCCTTTGCAGAGAGGACTTTGCAGCTCTCAGTATTTTCTCTCTGGGAGTTAGTAGGTCATTTGCAAAAGGCATGGGAAGAGCAGCTGATGAAAAGGTCTAATAGTTTGGAAAACTGCTTAACCTTATTGCTCTATTTCTGGATTTTCCCCCATGGCCAAGGACTTTTGAGATCCTGATTTCCCCGGAGGTTTCCTGGTTAGGAATGCAGTGAAACCTCTGAAGTGCAGAGGAATTGGGGAGAAGGTCGGCTGGAATTGGGGAACGGTCTGAATATTTTTTTAAGAACATCTAGGTCTATTGTTTTCAGGGACAAAGAATCACAGACTTGGAAGTGACTAAGACCCTACGATCTTTTTGTGCTTCATCCCACACAGAGCTTTATTTGCACTTCTCTTGAATGCTTCCAATGACAGGAGACTCACTATTCTGATAGAGAACCTGTTTCACTCTCAGAAAAGTTTTCCTTTCCCTGAACATGAATCTATCTTCCTGTAAGGTTCTACTTGCCTTCCGGTAGTCATATGAAACAGACATGCTCCTCTTCCCCAGATGGTCCTTAAATATTTGAAGGCAATGATCATGCACCAAATTGTGCCTCATGGCATTCTCTTCTGCAAGCTGACCACTCCTGGTATATTAAACCATTCTTTATATGACAAATGTCATCAGCTCTAATTATAAACAAACTGCTGTCTCTAATTAGCCTCTTGATTAATGGCTATATAAATTCAGAGCTGAGAAGAGCTTAGAGACCACCTGCACAATCCTCACTATTCTACAGATGAGCAAAGTGAGGTCCACTGAGAAAACAGGAAAACTGCCTTACCCAACTTGAGAGAAAGAGACAGGCAAACAAGAGAGTCTGAGTTGAGACCTGAAATCTAGTTGCATGAATCCCAGTTCAGGCCTCTTTTCACCTCACCCTGCCTCCTATTATTCATAAGACATAAGAATTTCTCAAGTTCTTGAAAGTGGTTGGGAAGTTTGTTCTCTTAGGTATTTCAAAAATTCCTCCTTCAAATTGTATTTGCACTGTGTGAAGTAGGGGTTAGCATAGGGTTGAATTTAGTGGAGGCTATACTGTCAATAGAAAGCATCCTTCCAGGTGTGTTAACCCTCATTGCTCTCTGTTGTCAGAAGTTCATCTCCATTGACCTAGAATCCTAGCTCAAAACGGCCAGCACATGCAGAGGGCCACCAAGGCAGGTCATATTTCCCACGATGTCCAGCTACCTGCTCGATGTAGCCAACCTTCCCAACTTTGGAACCAGAAAATGAGTTTTCCAGGATGTGAGACTGTGTTCCTGCTTTACCTTGTGCTTGTTTTAAAGTTTCATATCCTCTTTTCAATCTGGCCTGATTCTCTGACAAGAAGACAAAACAGAGACTCAGGGAAGCAAACCAGGTACTTCAGTGATTGGTTTCCCGTCCCAGTTCTCAACAAACCCTGCAGTCACATGCTTCCAAGGGAACATTCCTCCCTGCCCCAACCCACAGCGATCGCCCTCTTCTCTCAACAAGGTATTGCATTTCCAGTTCTTACACTTGCTCTGGCATGGACTATAAACTGGCGCATGCTGCTCCCTGGTTTCCGTGTCTTCAGGAATCACACGGACCTGGGTTCCAGTCCTAACCCTGCAACTAGCTGGCTATGTGACTTTGGAAAGTGACTTCACCTTTCTGAAACTCAGTTACTTCATTTGTTAGATGAACACAATTTTGCTACCTACCTCATGAGACTGTCAAGGTCACACAATGCCTAAAAGGTGCCTAAAGTGAAAGAAGTGAAAGTGTTAGTCACTCAGTCCTGTCTGACTCTTTGCAACTCCATGGACTGCAGCCTGCCAGGCTCCTTTGTTCATGAAGTTCGCCAGGCAAGAATACTGGAGTTGAGTTGCCATTCCCTTCTCCAGGGGATCTTCCCGACCCAGGGATCGAACCCGAGTCTCCTACATTGCAGGTGGATTCTTTAGCATCTGAGCCACCAGGGAAGCCCCCAAAAGTGTCGAACATAGTCCCTAATATTTAGTAAGATTTCATAGAAGATATATATATAGTGTTATTAATAGTATGCTCCAGAATTCAGAAACTAAAACCTATATTTTTCTCCTGCTGCATACAGTAGTTGTAAATACCCTCTGATTGATACTGGTCTATGCTTCTTTAGGCAGTAGGTACATCAGAAACATTCTCAGCATCGTGTAAGGACAGTTCCTATTTCCCAGCTCCCTTTTCCCCAGATTCCCTCTTCCAATAATGATCTCAGCAAGGAGGCCCACCCTGGCCTGCCACTTTGCACACCTGTCAGCTCACATCTCAGGATAAGGTTCTCATTTGACAGACTTCGAGAACTTGCTGTCCAGGCAAAGACAACTTTATGATGATGAATCCAACACAAACCTTATGTAACCAACCTGTCAGCAAACAGAGGGACAGAGAGACACTAACAAATGCCTGCCTCCACAAAGAAACAAAGCAGAACAAAAGGAGATAGAAAGCAAGGAACTGAGATAGGCTTAAAATGCTCTTGTTTGTCCAAACTCTTACAACAGATCAATGTTCTTATATAAAGTACTTCTAAATGAACTTGAATTAGGCTAAACTCTATTTTAGCTGGGACTTTATGAACTAACATGCATAGCAGAGTTTTTCATTGAAATTACATTGTATGCTCCTCTAGTCAAACAAGGATGTATATAACATTGTCTATTAATAATATTTATTGTCCATGGGACTTAAAAATGGTGATAGAAAAGTTTCCACCTTTTTTTCCCTTCTAAATAAGACTATGGAAATTTCTACCTGGAGTGGCTTGAAATCCTTTCAGGTCATAAAGAGTCAAGGAATCTCCTAATTTCCCCAAATGCTGAGGATATCCTAGTGAACACTTGCTGAGAAAAAGGAATAATTCTTTCACTTGTCCCTATTGCAGATTATTTGTGTATTGCCTGTGTTCTTTATTAAGGACTCTATAAAGAAATAAAAACATCTGCTTAAATGAATTTGTAAATGTGACAGCCCCAGGGAAAAGAGTCCATGATTGAGGGTGAGGGCAGAATTCAATGACAATGTGGTGGAGATATGCCAGTTCCTGGTATGAGAGCCGGGTTCCCTGGCTTTAGCTCCGACTCTGACATCCTTGGCTTCTTACCTTGGGCAGGTCATCCCCCGTTGTGGACTTTCAGTCTCTTTGGATGTCAAATGTTTTTTATGCTTTCTCTTCCAAGTCTGAGATCCCATGAGGCTATGAGGAGTGTGAAGATTAACTGGAGAAGCTGCCTGCATCTCTGAGTGCAGGGGCCAGAGCAGGAGAAGAATGTGATAATAGGTATGAAAGCCCTTGGAGAAAGAGCAGAAGTGCTGAATGGCACACACTCTCCAAAGCCTGATGGCATGTTCTAGAAACACGGGCAGCTAACTTTCTCTTGAGATGTCAGGGCTCGCCGGGAGACACCCCATCACTGAACTGATGGGAAGCAGAGGAGACTAATGCTTTTCTGGTTGGGCACCCTGGCTGGGATAGAAAAGAAGAAAGAAGTAGAGTCAGCTCTGTAAGCGAGTGAAATGGCAAAGAACCCTGCAGGCTGAACCTCTCCTGGCTGGCGCTGCCAAGGAGGACGATCCACTCTGTCAAACCTGGGCCAAGCTCTGGCTCAAACACACAGGCAAAAATAGAAAGGGGGTGGGAAAAGAAATGTGTTTACTTTCATGATTTTCCCTTACATGCCTCTTAACAGTATTATATATAATCTCTCCACAAACAGGCAGTAATGGCTCAGAGGCCTCGCCTTCATTGATAAACCCTCCCAAACGATTCACGTCTCACAGTCAGTCTGGGGGCAGCTTGAGAATAAGCTTGGAAGGCAGTGTGATGGAGTAGAACACTGGCTCAGGGTCTGTCACTAACTGGGTAAACTGTGAAAAATCCCTCTCTGGTGCTCTGCAAAATAAAGTGGTTATATTAGGCAGAATCTAAACATCTGCTTAGAGTTTTGAAGTTTATAACTGGTTCTCAACCAGGGGCAATTTCATCTCTCAAGGTAGGGGTATGTGGCAGTGACTGGAGACATTTCTGGTTGTCACAGCTCAGGGGATGCTCCTGGCATCTCGTGGGTAGAGATGAGGGCTGCTGCTGAACATCCGACAATGCGGAGGACTGTCCTCCACAGCGGAGAATTATCTGGCTGAAAATGTTAAAAGTATGAGGTTGAGAAATCTTGATTTATCCTGAAGTGACTAGAGTCACAGGGAGGGGGCAAAAAAGGACAGCAGTTCAAAAGGAGGAGAGTTCAAACCCTGTTTCTAGATCATGAGGTATTCACCAGTGACGTGTTTTCCAGCTTCTCTCCCTATAACCCATGACTTTTTCATTTCCCTTGGAATTTTGGGGCTATGTTTGAGCAGCTTTTTCACAAGAACTTCCTTATCCTCAAAATGCCACGCCCTGGTGCGGTACGAAGATCTCTACTGTAAGAAAAGACAAAGATAAAAATATAAGCAGCTGCAAAGCAAGGAGAACCGAGAGGTGGGTAGCAGAGGCACACAACAGATGCCCATAACTCCAGTTCTATGAGTCAGTGTTTCTGACGTGACAACACGGGAATAATACTCGTAGGAAGAGCAAGATGAGCTATGCTGGGTGAGCACACACTGAAAGAACTTATGTGGGAGCAGCAGCGTTGGAAGAGACACAGGTTTGCAGTGGCAGATTCAAAGGCAAACGAAAGGGTTAAGCAATCAGTGCGTGTCACTCCTGTGTCATTCCACATTAAGTCACTGGGCAGTTATTACAAATAGTTACCTGCATGCAGTTTCCAGTGGGGGAGGCAAGCATACTCCAGTCAAGGGGTTTTGGAGAAACAGGTGCAATGAAGTCATGGTCAAACAATTTATTTACTGTAAACTTTAGACTTTGCTCAGGAAAACAACCAAAGCTGCCCCTCAAGTCCCTGCCTACAACACCCCGTTTGAGCAAATAAGAGGGGCGAGGAGAGTCCATGTTCACAGCGAAAGGTCCGAGAGACTCAATATCTTCCAGTCCAAGGGTGCAGGAAGGAAGGTCTCCTTCAGATACAAATTACCAGCAGCAATATATTACCCCTAATACTTGATCAATGAGGTAGATATGCAGGAAAAGTCATCAAAACATAGCAGCCCCAGGTCCTTTGAGACTGAAGCCCTTCAGACATAAACTTAACAAGTTCCAGGCAAAGAGGAACTGAACTGTACAAGAAACAGTTACTCAAATATATTTTCTTACAACTTAAAAAAATAAAAAATAAAAAGGCAGAAGGATATCTTTCCTCCTGCACATCTCTGTACAATTTTATTCTAAATCTATTACACTGAAGTTAAATAGTCTGTTTAGTGTTTTGTTGCGGGGAATTGGGGAGAAGGGGTGTCTTAAAAAGTAGAAAATCTGCATTACAGCAGTGAGTCATTTGTACTACAATTCCTCCCTTGTGAATCAATGCTATCACTGGGCACAGTACCTTGCTGGTTCACAAAGTCTTCGGTGCCTGGGGGGTCTTCACAGAGCAGTTCACTGTCTTTCTCCTCCCCCAGGTGATATCCACTCAGTTCCCCTGTGTAGTCAGTCCTGTCATTGCTGTTGCTGGAGCAGCCATTCCCATAGGCCTTCAGTGAAGACCTGCGCAGGCAGAGAAGCTCCTGGAAGGCAATCCTGAAATCTGGGCTCCGGCAGTAGATAAGGGGATTGAAAGCGGAGTTGATGTAGCCCAACCAGTTTAGAAGGATGTAAATTTCCTTAGGGATGAGGTTATCCTGGATCACGTGCACAATGTTGACAATGAAGAAGGGCAGCCAGCACAGGGTGAAAGTGCCCATGATAATGCCTAAAGTCTTGAGGGCTTTGTGTTCCTTCAAGTAGAACTTGGAGGTCCTGCGTTGTCCTAGACCGCTCCGCCCATCTTGCTCCGCTGGACTGATGTTTTGGGCGTGGAAGCGGCCCTCCGATCTGTCGATCTTCTGGAGCTGCCTTTTGGCTACCTGGAACACCCTGGAGTAGACGAACACCATGACCACCAGGGGCAGGTAGAAGGACACAATGGAGGAGGCAATGGCGTAGGGCTGGTTCGTGAAGAAGTCACAGCAGGTTTCCTTAGCATAGCAGCTGATAGCTTCCTTGTGGCTGGCTCGGTACCAGTGCATCTGAATGGGTAAAAAGGAGGTAAGGCCAGACACGACCCAAACCATCAGAATGACCACCCGGGCCTTATTCTTGGTCAGCAGGCACTGATACTTGAAGGGTGACGTGATGGCAAAGTAGCGATCCACAGCGATCACGCACAGGGTCTCAATGCTGGCCGTGACGCACAACACGTCAATGGAAGTCCAAAACTCACACCAGAAGTTGCCAAAAGTCCACATTTTCATAAGGATGTGGCAGGCCCCAAAGGGCACCACTGCCAGGCCCATGACCAGGTCAGCACAGGCCAGGGAGGTGATGAAGTAGTTGGTGACCGTCTGCAGACGCTCAAACTTGGCAATGGCTGTGATGACCAGCACGTTTCCAAACACGATAGCCAGGACAATAAGCGACATGAGGATGCCCATGCCCACCACCCAGGCCTCGTCCCGTTCCAGCGTGACGTCTTGGTCTGGCGCATGGCTTGCGTTGGGCGCCAGCAAAAAGACGCTGCGGTTCCCGGGCTGCCCCATGGCGCGCAGGCTGGCAGGTGAGCACACAGGCTGCCGGCGCACCAGCCGCCCTCAGCGAGCGGACCTCCGGCGGGGCGCTGCGGGCAGCAAGCGAGCACCTGGAAGACTCATTCAGCGGCCGTGGGTGTGGGTGTGGTAGGGGTGCGTGGTGCACTCAGCTACGGAGGTGCTCTGGGCTCGCAGTGCCCGTCAGTTCCAGCCAGTTCCAGCTTGCGCTCTGGAGAAGCCGTCTCTGAGTGCGCGCTGTCCGTTATGTGCCCAGGACTTTAGGGGAACTGCCCTCCCCGTGACGTGCTAGAACTTTCAACCAATAGAACGCGGGAAGCCCCAAAGGGGCGAGGCCCACGCCTTCTCCCGCCCCTTCCCTCCCCTCTCCTGCCTGCTCCTGGCGCTGGCCCGGGCGGGACCCAACTGCTCTACGAGGGCGGGTCGGCCGCCACTCCCTCGGGGCTCCCTCGGCTGGCTCCGGAGGCTGAAGCCGGCTCTGGCGAGCTTACCAGCCAACTAGAAGGTGCCGGTTCTTTCGTGGCTGCTACCTGTCTGCCTGGGGCGCCTCTGCGGCTTGAGGTCTCAGGGCAGATGGCAATACTCCGGCACTCCCTCGCATTCGGAAATAGATGAGAGTGCCCACCGAGACACGCACAGACAGGCACACTGTACCCCGACGTACATGCTCAGACTTATACAGAACCACAGACACTCAGACACACCCATCCAGCGCATCAACGAGCGCGCAGGCACAGAAGCCGACAGGCTCAAAGTCACCCCTCTCCAACACAAGAGACATGGCCGGGAGCAAACCAGGAGCACCCAGAAGCGTGAAGACACGGACATACAGACAAAAAGAAGTAAACAAAGAGCATACAAACGCCCACTTGGAGGCAAGCAGGGTGCCACAGAGAAGGACTTCTCCATCAGGGTATTCCAAACTCGTTACCCTTGCCCCCTGGACATCCACCCCATCTTCCCCAATACACGGGACTCATGGCACATTCCCTTTCAGACATTAGGCAAGACCACAGGTGGTGACTTTAACAACAGCCAATTTCCTCAGCATGCTTGCTCTCCAGTACTTTTGGTGCCCTCCTAGGGAATTTTCAGGGGTTGAGACCTAATTTTACTCTTGGGATTTTATTTGGAGCTGGGGTATACATGTATGTGCTTGTATGCTTTAAGAGAAGCTTGTATGCTTTAATTCTTAATTCTAGGGAGTGTGGCATCATTCCTTCCTTATCTGTTAAAATGAGAATATGTTGAAAATGAAATAATTTTCAAGTTCAACTTCTTCAATAATCCCTTTGTAACTAGAAAAATCTCCTATTGGGTAGTTTGTTGATCTGTTGGGCTGAGCCATATGAAATTGCCACTTTTCTGTAGTATCTGACTTTGAATAGATGATAATTTCATATGGCTCAGATTATTAAGAAGGTATTAACATTAAGAAATGTTTTGAAACCACAGAAAGCAAAAGATAACTTCTCTTAAAAAACTAGAGTCTTTGTCCATGAAATACTATCCTTTGCATCTGGCATAGGAATTTACTGTTTAAAAAATTAATTTTCAGGGTTTGATTTCACATGTATCATTTGTGTCTTTGAAAAATGGAAAGTATTTCACGCAGTGTAACTGAACATATTTTCTAGATTACATAATAACATAACAATGGCTAACATTTATGGAACGTTCTGCTATGTGCTTTTCATGCATTATTCCATTTAATCCTTCCCACAGTCCCATGGTGTGTGTTGTTAGGGTGGGGTGGGATATAACTATTTTTAGCTTAATTTACAAATGGGTCTCAAAGAAGAAAATAGCTTGCCCATGGGCACAGGACCAGGCAGTGCCAGTAGCAGGAGTTGAACCCAGTTCTGTTTGACTCTAAAATCCATCTTTTAATCCTTTCAATGTACTGTGTTACCACAGTGCAGAAAGGAATAGAGGATGGGGAAGAAGGACCACAACTGGAATAGGAATACCAGGTTTCAAATTCTCATCTTAGAACTTTCTAGCTCATATTCCTTAGGCAAATAAAAAAATGTGGAGCCTAATTTCCTCCATGTGTAAATGAGGAATAAAGTCACTTCCATCGTGCTGAATGAGAATCAGATGATATAATGACAAATGTAATTATGATTTGCGCTTATCAATGCCACATGAATAAAGGTTATACATGAAACTTATATAAATTACTTAGTAGTTTAGAAGATATTGTTAGCTAGTGTTCTCTAATAGAACACTAAAATGCTTTAGGACAAAAGTAACTGGGGCATTTACATGAGAAGTATAGCTCAGAAACAAAATTTAAACTACATGCTCTTTTTAACTTTCTTCACTAGCAGAAATTGTTTTTGCATGACAGATGCCCTAAAATAACAAATATTTCCCATAAAAGCCACACATATTAATTAAGAATCTATTATGTTCACATAGTTTTCAAAATATACCCACCCCATATTTGTGTTTTCCAAAATTGGCTCTGGTATGATGCATTTTAGGAAGAGGCAGTGTGCATTATGCAATTATGCAATATTTCTTTAAATATATATCTACCCCAAATTGTGAAACTGAGCCATTTAAAGCCTCCTTCCTGTTTGTGAAGCTATGAAATAAATAAGCATATTGTTTAACCTTTTTATAACAATAAAAGAGCAAAGAAAGCCCTTATGGGACAAACATCAATTGATCATTTAGCTATACACATAAGTCACTTAAAATTTTAATGTTGATTATTTTGGGAAGCACCTTTTAAAAAACCCACAAACACTAAACCCAGAAGGGAGGCTGCTTATGTCAACAAAATACCAGGTCTTTGCCTCATCAGCTTTGCCAAATGGGCACCCCTCTCTCAATCTCTTCCCCTTTCTTTTTCTTGTATCACTGTGGCTGATAGAAATTTCAAACTGTCTTCATGCCAGGAGTCTTTTACCTGACCTCCCTTTTAGAATTGTAGGATTAAAGACAGTTAGAATGGAAAAGAGTTTAGTAGATCATTTATACTCTCCATGCTTCCAGTTTGAAAATTAAGAAAGTGTCTGGTTGAAGGTGGCAGGGAAGATTGGGAGTCCTGGTCTGTTCCTGGTCTCACATGTTTTCACTGCCCAACATTGTAGCTTCATTTCCCAGTGGAGGAGTGTGACTAGCACTGCTTACTGGGCTTATGGTCTTAGAGAGTTAATGTTTTAGTTGAACTGGAAAGTTCTAAATGTACCTTTGTCTGACATAAGGAAAAGCAGGCTCTTTTATGGTGACTGATGGTGTCTAACTACATATTTTGTTAGTCCCTTAAGACCTTGATTTGTCGTTTCCTGCCTGCCAAACAAGAAAAAAAAAAGTCACATTTTGATTTACCAAACAAATGTTTAAAGAGGAGTAAGGCTCTGTGAGCCAGGGAATGCTCTCACATGAATATCTGGACGCTTTAGGACAATCTTAGACTGGTCTTGGCTTAGGCAAGATTATTTCCATCTTTTAAAACACATATTTTTGTTGTTGAGGTGTAATTGATACGTAACACATCGGTTTCAAGTGTACAATGTAATGATTCAGTAGTTGTATTCATTGTGAAGTGATCATCTCAATAAGTCTTGTTACCATCCATCACCATGCATTAAAAGTTAACTTTTAGTTTGTTCTCTTGGCAACTTTTAAGTATGCTCTACAATATTACTGACTGCAGTCACCATGCTATACATTACATCCCCATGACCTATTTTATAATTAGAAGTGTGTACCTCTTGACCCCCTTCACCTGTTTTACCCTCTCCCTATCACCCTTCCCCTCTGGCAAACACCATTTTGTTCTCTGTATCTATGACTTTTGTTTTGTTTTCTTTTGCTGTTCACTTGTATTATTTTTTAGATTTCACATGCAAATGAAATCATATGCATTTGTCTTTCTTTGTCTGACATTTCATTTAGCATCATTCCCTTAAGGTTCATCCATGTTGTTGTAAATGGCAAGATTTCATTCTTCTTTATGGTGGAGTGGTATTCCATTTATGTGTGCATATCAGATCTCCTTTATCTACTCATCTATCAGTGTATATTTATATTGCTTCCTTATCTTGGCTATTGTAAGTAATGCTGTAAAGAACATGGAGGTACATACAGCTTTTTGATTTAGTGTTTTTGTTTTCTTCAGATAGACACCCAGAAGTGGAATAATTGCATCATATGTTAGATCTACTTTTAATTTTTTGAGGAAATCAACCCCATACTGTTTTTCATAGTGGTTGCATCAATTTACATTTCCTCCAACAGTGCGTGAGAGTTCCCTTTGGTCCACATCCTTATCAATGCTTTTTTTCTTTTTTTTTTTTTTGATAATGGCTATTCTAACTGATGTTAGGTGATAGCTCATTGTGGTTTTGATTTGCCTTTCCCTGATGATTAGTGATGTTGAGCTTTTCATGTGTCTGTTGATTATCTGTATGCTTTCTTTAGAAAAATGTATATTCATATCCTCTGCTCATTTTTTGAAATCAAATTGTTTGCTTGTTTTCTATTGAATTTTATGAGTTCTTTATATATTTTGGATATTAATCTCTTATCAGATACATGATTTGAAAATATTTTCTCCCATTCAGTAGGTTGCTTTTCTATTTTGTTGATTGTTTCATTTGCTGTACAGAAGCTTTCTAGTTTGATGTAGTCCTACTTGTTTGGTTTTCATTTTATTGCATCTCTTTTGGATTCAGATTCACAGATTTTTTGCCAAGATCACTGTCAAGTAGTTTACCACTTATGTTTCCTTCTAGGAGGTTTATACAGAGTAGATACAGAGGGAATGTACTTCAACCTAATCAAGGCCACATATGACAAGCTCACAACAAACATACTATATGGTGAAAGGTTGAAAATTTTTCCTCTAAAATCAGGGACAAGATGACAAAGATGTCCATTCTTTGGGTAATATGGTCATTTTAATGATATGAATTCTTCCACTCCATGAGCACAGAATATTTTTCCATTTCTTTGTGTCTTCTTGAATTTCTGTCATCATTGACATCATTTTTGGTGTACAGGTCTTTCACCTCCTTGGTCAAATTTATTCCCAGGTATGTTATACTTTTTGATGCAGTTGTGAATGGGGTCTTCTTAATTCCTCTTTCTGATAGTTTGTTGGAATATAGAAATGCAATTAATTGTTCTAACAATGACATGACTTTATGTAGAAAGGATATAGAAACACAATTAATTGTTCTAACAATGACATGACTTTATGGAGAAAACCTTAAAGATGCCACCCAAAACCTGTTAGAACAATTGAAGTCAGTAAAGTGGCAGGGTACAAAATAACATACAAAAATTAATTGTGTTTCTATATCCTTAACAACAAACTATCAGAAAGTGATGTCAATGATGACAGAAATTCAAGAAGACACGAATAAATGGAAATGCAATTCCTATCAAGATCCCAATGCCATTTTTCACAGAAATAGAACAAAAAATCCTAAAATGTGTTTGGAACCACAAAGACCCAAATAGCCAAAGCAATCTTGAGAAAGAAGAATAGATTGGGAGTCATCAAGCTCTCTGGTTTCAAGCTATATTACAAAGTTGTAGTAATCAAAACAAACACATAATTAATGGGACAGGGTAGAAGACCCAGAAATAAACCCTTGCATATATGGTCAATTAATTTACAACAAAAGAAGGAATAATATATAGTGGAGGAGAGAACAGCTTCTTCAATAAATAGCATTGGGAAAACTGGACAGACACATGCAAAATAATGAAACTAGACCACTTAATAGTGGTCTAGACCACCTAGAAACTAGACCACCACACCATATGCAAGAATTAACTTAAAATGGAGAAAACAGTTGAATGTTTCCTAGAAGAAAACAGGTGGTAAGCTACTTGACATCAGTCTTTTTTTCTTTTTTAAAAAATTTATTTATAATTGAGGGATGTGCTCAGTTGCTTCAGTCGTGTCTGACTCTTTGTGAACTATCGACTGTAGCCCACCAGGTTCCTCTGTCCATGGGGATTCTCCAGGCAAGAATACTGGAGTGGGTTGCCATGCCCTCCTCCAGGGGATCTTCCTAATTGGAGGATAATTGCTTACAATATTTTTGACCTCCATCTTGAAGACTCTTTCCATCTTTATGATCCTCTAAACTGTGAAAATCTATAGATTTTTTTTTTCTAAGTGATGATCTCAAATGTTTGTCTTTAGTATGATCTCTGTATAGTATTACCTCATTAAGCTTACATTAAATGAGACTAAATGCATGTAAGGCTTAGCATGTTGCCTTGGAAAAGAGATAGCTATTATTGAAATCTAGTTTTTGAATCAAAATGTGTATAAAGAAGGCATGTCTTATCAGATCACATTGTGAAAGGCCACTTTGAATATAAATAATGAGTAATTTATTTTTAATTTGAATTTTTGTGAAAAAAGACTTTGAAAGGAATAAAACTTGATTCCTTAGTAAGAAAAATGATGGTGAAAATGACTTTCATCATTGAGTTATGTAGCTGGATAGGATGTTAGTGATTTTTGAATGAGGCATCTTGTAGCCTAGGCAGCTCCTTACATAGTGCATCTGCCAAAACTCTTTGACAGCTATCTCTAGTGAAAGCAAGCACACCAGTTCTTTTCATTGGTGTACGTTTCTCCACTATCCAGATATTGAACTGAAATCCATCTTCTGATAATTTCTACCTACGGATCTTAAGTCTGCCCCCTTGAGGCCACTTGAACAAGTCTACTCTCTCTTTCAAGATTGTCCTTGAGATTTTGGTAGAATCCCTTAGAGTTCACCTGAGTCTCCTATTCTGCAGGTTAAATATTTCTGTTCCATTGGGTCTAGAATCTTCTTCACCATCAGGTATCTTACTAGTCATACTTGGGCTTGTCAGTGTCTCATCATCAATACCTAGAGTGATCCTAGAGCAAGTCATCAAACAATCAATTTACATTTACCTTGGCAACCATAAAGCAAGCAGAGCAACCAGCAAAGCATTCAGAGCAGCTAATTGTATCAGATTAATTTAATTTCCTGCCATACTGGTGTTTTATGAGATACATGCTAATAAATTCTCTGCATCTCAGGGGGACTGAACAAAAAGAGATGGCATTAAATTAAAACAGGAGGAACTTCAGATGGTCATATGAAGAACTTCTTGGCCTGAGGACAGTCAGTCATCCAAAGGAGTTAGCCTCTAGCAGCTTTCCTCCACTGGGGTTTTACAAGAGAATTAAATCCCACAGAAAAGTGTTTGAGTGGCTGTTCTTCCCAGTTTTCCCAAGGGTGGTACTTAAGTATTACCCTCCTAAGAACTTGCAGTATAACAGCTGCTTTAGGGAATGGGGCTTAATTTCCCCTACTGAATCCAACCAGAATTTCTGGGAGTCTCCTTTAGATGTGGGAATGAACAGGGTATGATGGTAAATGAGTCATCATCAGTTTGATGCAGAGGAGAGGGCTTGAATTGGGCATAAGGAGACCTAGGTTCTGATCCCAGGACAGCTATAATACTATCAGTCAGTCAGTTCAGTTGCCCAGTCGTGTCTGACTCTTTGCGACCCCATGAACTGCAGTATGCCAGGCCTCCTTGTCCATCACCAACTCCCAGAGTTTACTCAAACTCATTTCCATTGAGTTGGTGATGCCATCCAACCATCTCATCCTCTGTTGTCCCCTTCTCCTCCCAAATTCAATCTTTCCCAGCATCAGGGTCTTTTCCAATGAGTCAGTTCTTCTCATCAGCTGGCCAAAGTATTGGAGTTTCAGCTTCAGTATCAGTCTCTCCAATGAATATTCAGAACTGATTTCCTTTAGGATGGACTAGTTGGATCTCCTTGCAGTCCTAGGGACTCTCAAGAGTCTTCTCCAACACCACAGTTTAAAAGCATCAATTCTTTCAGGACTCAGCTTTCTTTATGGTCTAACTCTCATATCCATACATGACTACTGGAAAAACCAGAGTTTTGACTAGATNAATCCAGCTTTAACATCTGGAATTTCTCAATTCATGTACTGTTGAAGCCTGGCTTGGATAATTTTGAGCATTACTTTGCTAGCATGTGAGATGAGTGCAATTGTGTGGTAGTTTGAGCATTCTTTGGCATTGCCTTTCTTTGGGATTGGATAACTTTAAAAAAGTCACCTTCTTTCTTAGAGCTGTAGTCTTTGGCCATAAAATGGGAAGTAGGGATAGATGACATTTAAGGGCCTTCCTATTCTAAACTGAACAAGTCTGTAGTGGGAAGGAAGCATGTTGAGGGCCATTGAGGAGATGAGTTCCTGCTCTGAAGAGCTACCAAACAGTTGGCAAGCAAAAACTGTCACTATCCCACAAAGCAACTTGGTTATGTTTGTTTGGGTTCTTTTTGGCATATTTCACCATTGAGATTCCTGCTATTCTGAGCAGGAGGTGTACTATTACTTACTGAATACTTTTTTTTGATGCTGACTTATTTCTAAAACTCAAATACATTTATTTTTAAAGAAAATTTTGTATTATTGCCACTACTGCATGTGGAAAACCAGTGTCACCAGCCATAAATAGAAGGTAACCATGAAAACAGAGCAATGTTAATAAATTCTAGCTGGATTTTGTTGCCTTCTAAGTTCTAAGCCTGAAGCCTGCTTTCGTGTTATTGAAAAGGAAGATTAGCAAGTTCCAGGGAGAACTTAATGGTATTCTAGCATACAGTAGGACCTTCTCCATCTATTTTAAAAGATAGAAAATTGAAAAGGGAAAAAATTACTCCTACACTGTTATTAAGTGTAGTGTTACTGAAGTGTTTAAAATAATTTCTTATCACACCTAAATGTATCTCAGCCCTAGGTCACACTAATGGAACACACAGCCGTCATGCAAAGAACCTGGCCTTTGGAGCCAAATGGACCTGGATTCCAGTCCTGATTCTGCCCTTAACAGAGTGCTGCAGGTAATATACTTGAGGTCTCTGGACCTCAGAATGTTTGTATATAAAATGAGGCTGAAATCTCTTGGCTGACTGTTAAGGGAATAGAAAGAATATATGAAAAACTGAGTTTGGAAAGGGAGGGAGAGAACCAAGAGACCAGACAGCAGAAGAAATCAGCACAAGTTGGATTGCTGGAGGTAGAGGAGATGAGTCAAAGGATGGGGCCAGTGCTAAGCAGAGGTGAGGAGAGCAGCTTGACCCAAGTGTCTGTAGGACAGGAAGGTGTGATGAATTCCGTTGTAGCCATATTGAGTTGGAGGTTTTGATTGGACATCAAAATGGAAGTTAAAATGTTTAGGGACTTCCCTGATGGTCCGGTGGTTAAGACTTTGCACTTCCAATGCAGGTGGTGTAGGTTTGATCCCTGGTCGGAACAAAGATCCCACATGCTGCATAGTCAAAAAAAAAATAATAATAATAATGTTTGACAGATGAGTAGATTTGGGGTGATGTGTCTGTTGGTGGTTGTCATTACAGTGAAAGCATTCCCTGAATAGCAGTACTCTCAGAGGATGCTTTTGATGGTTAAAGGAAATAATACATTTAAGGAACTTAGCACAGTGCTTCAAAAAAAGTGTTTATCATTGTCATCATCATCACTGTTGTCCTTATTGTCATCTTATATTTTCTAGTGCAGTTTCAGTTTCACGACATATTTCTCTAAAGGCAGCCCTTTAAATGAAAATAAGTTTATCCAACTTGTACAAAAGATCCTTTGTTCATATCAAACTACTAATAGTGGTAACTTTTGGAGTGGATTGTTGGAAGAAGTCTCAGGTTGGATTTCTTAGCAACAGCTCCTGAGATGAGGGTTTGTGTGCAAGCAATTGATGAAGGATGGTCTCCCAAGAGAAACCAGTCTGGGAGTGGCAGAAGCAAAGCCAGTCAGTAATGGTTTCAGACAAAAGCCCAACCATGACTTGATCCTGTGAGACACTCTAGAGCATCTCTGGAGCCACCTGTTTGGTTTGAAGCCCTGCTTCTTCCAATTCTTAGCTGTCAAACCCCAAGCAAGTTACTTAATCTCCCTGTGTCTCAACTTCCTCATCTGTAAATTTGGCCTATTTGATAATAATATCTTACAACCCATTGTGGGTGGTTAGAGGAACAAATACATTAATATCTGAAAAATGGTTAGAACTGCCCTGATACATAGTAAGTGCTGAAATTAATTATTGACATCAAACCTAGAGAATGATCTGTTAGCCATAGCACTCAGGAAACATCTCACAGGAAAGAGATTGTGCATGAAGTCTCTTGGGCTGAAGATCCCCTAATTGCAAACAGCCTAGTGCTGGAGCCTAAGGAAAGAAAGTGCAGTTGTGTGCCCGGCAGGAAAGTAGAGATGAAATTATTGGAGGGATCAAGAAGTATCTGCTTGAAGAAAGGAAGGCAAGAAGTAGGGGTGACAGTGAAACCGTGGGAGAAGGTAAAGCCAACTGCAGCTGGGGGGGATGGGCAAAGAAGGAGAAATGCCTTCAGGAGCTGAAAAGGGAGCAGGGCTGGCCTCCCTCCAAATATGCCTTTTGCTGGTGCCACAGCAGAAAGACTTCACTGGTTCAAGAGGAGGAGGAGCAGGTGCTCAGTGGAGTCTAATCACTGTGGGGTGGTAAAACACATGCTGGCCCGGAGGAAGAGAGGCTATCCTGAACCTCACGTTGTGCAATTGCCCCTCACTGGACCTCAGTTTCCTCATCTGTAAAATGGGAAGGTTGAATCAAGTGATCTCTTTCTAGTCATTTATTTGGTGATTGTTAAGGGATCTGAAAGACAGCAGGCATAGTTTTCATTTATTATGTGTGTACTCTACATACCAGGAGCTGGCCATAGGCACCTTACATACATACTCTCAACTTTTATCTCATTTCATACAGTATTATGAGGTGGCATAGTTATTCCCATTTAACAGATGAGAAAACTAAGGTTTAAAGAAATTAAGCAGCCTGCCACAGATTACACCATAGGTAGATGGAGGACTAGAAGTGCTTCCGACCCAGCTCTGTCTGATCAAAAGACTGATTCTGAACGACTTACTCAGGATTCAGACTCAGTGAAAGGACTGCATATTCAGGCTGCTGAGGTGGAATCACCCTGGTTGTCAGGGTCTCAGAGCTAGATTCTAACATGCTGCTGCAGGCTGCAGTGATGAGGCAGCACTGTCCTATAGCAGTAGGGAGACTGGTTGGACATTGTCTGCGCTGAGCCTCTGGGCTTCATCCAGCCTCTTTCCTCCACTCATGGCAGCCTCTTATGACTATTACACTTCCTTCCCTTCTCCCCTCATCTCCTGCACGGTCCCCACTCCCAGCAACCACTCACACATTTACCCATACTTTGTGAGCTTCCTCCAGGAAGACTTGCTAACTCTGAAAGCAGGCTAGATGTCTCTGGTATTTGCTTTTGTGTCTCCCCAGACAGTAGAACCTACCCTATATTAGCATCATTCCTCATTGCTTTCTAATACTAATTTATCCATCTTTGTATCCCCAATATCCTAACACAGGGTCCAGAATACAGAGGGCAGATACCTTACATATATGCATGTGCGCACGCACACACACACACACACACACACACACACACACACAGAGGCCCATTTACTTAGACATCCTTAAAGTATAGATTTGGAGAATATAAAGAAATGAAAAAGGCAAGGTTCTTGCAATTAAGAGACTTACAGGGTAGTAGTAGATATTAGTATATAAGCTTCACTTCCATGTAGTTGAAGAAAGTACTATGAGCTAGGAACTTGATATTATGAACAAAAGAGGACAAATTCAGCTCTCCATCACCTCAGATAAACACTGGGGAGAAAGCATGGGGAAGTCTTCCAAAAGAGCAAAGGGCATTGAGTAATAGAGTCTTTAATCAAGGGACTAATAGGATTTTTTAAAAAAGAAAATAAATTGACACAGCTGTTTGGAGAGTAATTTGGTAGAATTTATTAAAATGTATATATCCTTTCACCTAGCAATTCTGTTGCTGGAAATTTGTTCCTTAAATGTCAGGTGTTTATGTAAAGATACTGTTTCACTTGTGATGAAAATGAAACTAATTGTTCAGAAAGGGAAAATGGTTCACTAAATTAGAAGAAACATATTATGAATTGTAGTTATTAAAAAGAATGAAGTAACCAAAACTTGCAGACTCAGAAAGTTGTTCATGCTTTATCACTGAGGTATAAAAGCAAATTGTATGAAATGATTGCATTCTGCTCATGTTAAAAACATACATATGGCAGTTTTGGTGCCTGCCTTATTAAAACTTCCAGGTACTGCTGAAAGCTCTGGGGGACACAGCTGCCTCCCAAAGGTTTACTGTAACACAGTGAAGTTAAATAGGAAAATCATTATATGATGGACTGTGCGACAAAGGCTATCAAAGAGGTATAAAGGAGATCTGAATTCAACAGAGGGCTGGTCTTGTTCATTATATGGGTGAAGATAAAGAGAAATTATAATGTGTCTTTCAGTTGGTGGCCATAGAGCTTGGCTTGAGGATGGATGTGGTCTGGGTCATCAGGGAGCAGCAAGAGAGAACACTGTAGAGGAGATACAACGTGAACGAACGTGGAGGTGGGAAACCTGGGACTATGTTTGAGGAACATATTGCAGGAGAATAACTTGCAGGACAGCTGTCAACACCTGATATATCAGGAAAGAAACAGAAATACATGAGTCATGTTCTGTATTTTGAAAGCTCCTGAATGCTGAGATAAGCAGTTGAGGTTTAAGAGAAATTAAAGAAGAAGGCAGGCAGGCCATGAAAAGGTAAAATCTGGAAAAAAAAAATCGATAGTGGGATAAATGAGGCTATTTCACAGAAACGTGCCTAGCAGCGCTGTGCCCAAGGAGCAGATGAGGAAAGAAACCATGGTGCTGCTCCCATGGGTCTTAGGGTAACAGATCTTTGTTTCCACATTTGTAAAGCAATTTTACTCCTCTCCCACCTACCCCCAGACCCTGGTGGTGAGATCAAATGTACTATGGGTATGCAGTTGTGGGACTGGGTGCCTACAAGGGGCTGATTTCCTATAGAGGATTGTGATTAACACTGCGAAAAATTATAGTACAGACCTCACAAGCAGAGAATTCAGGTTGACACAGGGAGAGGGACATGTGACAAGCTGTGGGAGCATATGGTGTGGTCATCTGGGCAATGAGGGAGGAAAGGAAGTGAGTAGATTGGCATGCAAAATCCAGAAACAACAGCAAAAACCTTTTATTTAATCTGCCACACTGCAAAATTGAATGCTTTGCAAAAACTCAGGGTTGGAACCAGACTCAGGTAGACACTGTTATTGTCTCTTTGAAATTTAAAATGCACGTATCCTTTGACTCAGCAATTGCACTGCTAGGAATCTAGAAATTTCTCTCGGAGATATATGCACATGGATATGCAAAGGATATATACAAAGAATATTTTTTGCTGTGTTGTTTAACATAGTTAAAAAAGCTGCCAAACTGGAAATAACCTAAATGTTTGTAAAAAGAAAGTGGCTTAATAAATTTGTATGTTGACATTCAATGGATTAATATGCAAACATGGATGTTTGTAGCAGCCATATTAATATTTGCCAAACTTGGAAGCAACCAAGATGTCCTTCAGTAGGTAAGTGGAATAAATATATTGTGATACTTTAGAGGAAGGAATATTATTCAGCACTAAAAAAAATTAGCTATTAAGCCGTGAAAAGACATGGAAGAAATTTAATGCGTATTACTAAGTGAAAAAAGCTAATTTTAAAAGGCTACATATAACTCCAACTCCATGACATTCTGGAAAAGGCAAAATTGTGGAGACAGTAAAAAGATCAGTGGTTCCTTGGGTTAAGGGTGAGAGAAAGATGAATAGGCAGAACACAGGATTTTTAGGACAGTGGAATTACTCCATATGTTACTACAATGTTGGATACATGTCATTCTACATTTGTCAAAGTCCTTAGAATGAACTGTGTAAGA